ATTTTAAACATCAGTGATAACTCCAAGATACAGTTGCAAGAGATAATGAACTAAACATTCTGAACTATTAGCATGTCCTGTCTCCTCCATTTACATACATCCACACCAGAATATCTTTCTCAGCCCTCTGCCTCTTCCCTCGTCTGTAGTCTTTTATCTTCCATTCATTAGTACCTAAAAGGTTCTAGTGAAATTGTGGTCTCGAAGGGAGAACAGACAACCACATAATTTTGTCATTCATATTTTGGGGTTCTTGGGGTGGTTTTCTCTTTCTTATCTAGACCATTTTATGCAATTTTGTACCTAATCGGATGCAGTTTTTAAGCTTTTCACACCACAGACACACAAGGGTGGAAGTATTTCATATAAATAAGATCAGAGTAAATAAACGCAGTGGTAACAAATTGAGATAGGCCTCATCTAAATTCTCCTTTTAAAGAGAAAAGGACAGAAGAAAGATACCATTGCTAATCTCCATCTTAAAAATCAGAACTGAGCCACAGAAAGACTAATATGACTAATAATGTATTTATGGTAGTCAAGAAATAGATCATAAACTCCTATGGCAATGATTACATTAGGAAGTAGTGCAGCGCAAAAGGAGCAGATGTACGGAACAAAACAGTGCTGGCAACCCAACCTGCAAATGTATTTTAGTGCTTTACTTCGGGCTATCTTATCTCTGGTTCTGTGGACTGAACACCATTACTATGTAGAGAGCATTCAGTTTGCTCAAGGAGTTGCTCTTTCACTTCAGCCTCACCTGAAAGTAATTGATTCGCATGATCCAAGACCACTCTGTGATACAAATCAAAGCACAGTAAATGGGGATGACTGGGAGATATGCTTCAAGAAGCGTGTGCACACTCCTTATCCGAACTAAAAAGCAGATCCTCACTCTGCACCAGTGCGCTTCAATTGATAACGGCAAAATAAGGGGAAAAGGGGAAAAAACTTTAAAAATTTGAAGTACTTCAAATTATAGAGCTCCTTTCACTATGGCTTCTCAAAGCCAAAATATATGTGGCCGAGTAAAGTAGACAACAAGTTTAACAGATAGCAACATTGCATTTTGAATGCATTTATGAGTGACAAAATAAGAAATAATATTTTTAAAGCTACCCATCTTGATGTAAGAATAAATGAAAATAAAACTAAGAGTTCTGTTATATAATACATATTTTTCTTGTCCTTATCAAAGAAGTTATTAGCCTAATCCAATGAGGAAAGTCATAAAGATATTATGTGATTTGAGACAGTGAATTTTACAACTAATTAAATATCTGGTAGCAAAACATTTAAGTATATTGCTCATTAGGATGGACATTCTATTTGGAATATCAACCTCTGTAACTATTTAAAGCTAAGGTGTCAAATATAAACAAACTCTACAGTTTGTGTTATGCCAGATGCAGAATCTTGTATCTGAAAACAACCGAGTCTGTGAGCACTATCAGGTCCAGGTTTACATCCAGCCACCACTCACAGGTTTGCAAACTTCTTTGGAGACGCTCCGTGACCAGTATGTTTCCAGCATCGCTTGCATAATGGAAATTTACACTAAAACCAATTTTGCACAAATGTTAACATTCAAGGATTAACAAGTGGTTAGTACACTGGTGTTATGTATAAGCATCAAATTGCATTATCCTGTCTCCTGTTACTCCTTTCAGTGTTGATGCCCTCTGGAGAATAAACAATCTTCCTACTCTTTCTAACTTTGGTGCCTTCACAGTTGGAAGGCATAAATTTAATCCTGCATTTAGAATGTGTTTCAAAGACAATGTTGTAGGCAAAATCCTATACTTTGATTAAAAGCGTAAATAAAATGGAAGACAATTTCATACATTACCCATGTATTTTTGTTATTGATGTAGCAACCCGTTACGCTGAAAAACTTCTGGGTTTGCAATATGGGTCAGTCAGTGTGAACTGTGAGCCCAGGCTTTGACATTTGACATGGACACAGAGTTTTGTGTTAGCAAATTCCATTTCAGCACTAGGGTCAAAATGTGCCCCTTAAAGTCTACAGTTCAAAGAGAGCTAGCAAGAATGAATCTGAAAACAATTAAAGAGCCAAATCTTTATTTCTGCATTCCCTACTTCATTTCTGGAAACTTGGAATTTATTCAGAGAGCCTTAAGCTCTTCAAAGACAAAAATGAAGAACCTAATTAGACATGAAGTAAAACAGCTAACTAGAACTACATGGAGCACAGGAGAAGATTAGCTATTTCTATTTTAAAAAGTAGCATTTTGCACTCTCCAGATATTTCTGTCCTTTTAGACTAAGACTTCTTTGGTCAAACAAATGTTTACATAAACATTTTTGTACAGAGCCCAGGAAAATGGAAATCTAAACCCACTTAGAGTATTTGTCCAACATCCTTAATACTATTGTCTGATAGTCAGAAACCTCAAACTGCCCACTTGTAAAATGGTTAGAAATTAAAATATTATGTGTATTCAGCTAAGAAAAAGTCAACCCATGTCACTTGTAACCTGAGGCTATTTAAGATGAAGAGAAGATCTGATATTAGAAATGTTTAACTTTCCATGTTTTCTAATCACAATGAATTATGATAATCACTGTTCAAAACCAGGATACTGTGGGTACCTGCTTTGATCAGACTGTCAGGTCCCACACAGGTCTTGACAAAGGTTCTCTTAAAGAAGTTGGAGTAATCAGTTAGGGGAACACTTTCAACCCATGATTTACAGTATGTACAAATCTCATACTAACACACACAAAAACAGTTCAAATAAAAACAAGTGGCTACTTCAGCCACACAGAAGCTATACCAAGCCGTTCTCATATAAAATAGGTCATGTACTTTGTAAGTAGAGAAAAAAGCAGACAGAATTTGCATCTCTTTGCTTACAATAACATATTTTCATTTTCTGATTCTATGCCCTGTAGGAATATGGTTTTGATTTTGCTATTAATCAATGCAGCCAACATATTCCTCTCTGTCAAACACTATTGTGAAATATAAAAGGCAGTTTAAGATTAATGTCTCTCAATTATATTCCAATTCTGCCTCTTTTGGCTTTAAAATCAATCATATTTGTTAACCACAGGGTGCAAGCATTGCACTTGAAAAATTAAACTCCAAGATGATTGAAGATGCAGTTGCTGGTCAGTGGAAAGTTACATAACTTATTTCCAGAATGCGTTATTTCAGGATAACACTTGTATCCACACTGATGAATTTTTATGCAGCTTTTTGAATTCCAATTAACATTAACTCATAGAATACAATCTGCAAAAATATGTAGCTTCTTGATATTCTTAAAACTGGTCCAGTTGCACATCAGTCTATCTGTCAGGATGTTATTGGTTTAACAATATGAATGGACTATTCAGTTCCATCTTCAATTTTCTTGTTCAGAAGGAAACACAAAAGTGTATCCAGTATCAACATTTCAAAGAGAAGCATCCTAAAAATGCCCCCAAACTGTATTTTGCCCTAACAGTACAGTTGTAGCAAGAGTCTGAAACTTGACTCAGTTTTCCTGAGGCTACAAGAAGAACAATGAAAGTTGTCTACAGATATACAATGCAAATTATGCAAAATTCCAACCCAGGAGCCACACTAAGAAGTATTGATTGGCACTGTGCCCACCAAGGACCACATGCCAACTGGAGCAGGATGCAGTCCAGTTATTCAACTTCCTATGACGAGCAATCATGTGCCAAGAATTTGGAGTAAGGGCAAAATCATGCTCTATGACTTTCTTTTCTTGTATCAGCAGTAATTCCAAACAATAGCCTCAATGCAAAAAAGTAGACAAAAGGTCTTGTGACTGCATCTCCTTTTATACTATTCAAAATCAACCTTAATTAGTAATCTTGACTAAATATGTTTATATCATATACGTCATGAGCTGAGATCAATATTAGATTCATTTTGTTTCACAGACAATGTAAAAAAACATTCCTTTGCATTGCAAACTACATTTTGAAATGCAAATTACCAGAAACTTGAAAAATATATTTTATCATGGAAACATCAAGCACACATTAGCTATTGCCAAACCTCTAGCAATCTGCCAATAAAACCTCTAACCTTCACACATGATTTGAGCCAGTATTTCAAAACTAGCCACTACAGTATATTCCTCTTGTTCTGAATTTGAAGTTGACCAGAAACCCTGTGTCATAGTACTGATGAGTCACTTAGAAAGACCTAGAAGAAAGTTAAACAGCTTTCCTACCCAGCTGTTTTGAAAGGACGTGTTTACAATGAACCCAACCCCAGCCCAGTTTCAAAGGCCTATACTACAAGCTAGCAATCATCTATCTCCTAGCAAACACCAAGAAAAACATTGTGCCAACAATGCAGGACTTACTAAATTAAAATTAGGTGCATACTCAAAAAGGTAGTAATACACGTTTACTCAGGACTCTTTGCTAAGTCTAATAATTTAAATACAGTTGACATTGAATGCGAAGAGAACCTGTCTGGGGAGGAAACACACAATCAAAGTTACGCTGTGAACTATGAAAAGTTCTAACTACAGTAGAATGACTTTTCATTTTGTATTCAGCTGACTGGTTCATAAGAAACCAGTAATGAAAGATTCATCACCCTAAATTTGGGAGCTTAAGTAAATTAATGTGTAGTTGCTACATAGTTTCTAGTGGCCAGATATGCACACACTACATAAAGCTGTGCTACAGAGGATACCGTTCTTTTCATCTTTGATGGCATGTGACAATTCAGAGTCAAGCACTATGAAAACTTTTAGAAGCAGCCTTTTAATGACTACTTTGAGCACTAAGATTTGGTTGTTCAGGGATTTTTCAGGCAAAATAAAGAACATACAGATCAGAAATCATATGTAACTGCTGCATATAAATGAAGTATATGAAAGTTTAATAGACCTCAGTTTTGCACATTAAGCTGAATGCTAGAAACATGCATTAAAAAACTACGTTGTGTACAATATGAGTAGCTCTTATAGTTTAGAAGGAAAATAAGCAAAAACATTACTTACACACTTGTCATCTGATCCACTGGCTATAAACCGTCCACAAGGAGATACTGCAATTCCACATGGATAGCAGTGGCTACTGTGTCCTTCAAAACGTCGTTCACACCTTCAGAGAAATTTCAGTCTTATTAACACCAACTAAAAACTAGCTCTTCTAATGCCGTTTTCATTAAATCCTGCCGAAGTTTCATCCATTTTTCTTAGTCTACAAATTTACTAAGGCAAATCCACAAATTAAGTTTTAAATATATCTGCTGTAGGATTTTGACAAAACTGAAAAACATTAAAGAATATTAACAACTAAAAATAAACTGAACACACAAAACTACCCCAGTACAATGCCCAAAACCATGCTTTGGCCTTATTTAGTTTACAAAGATAGAAACATGATTAGTATTTAGTAATGAGAAGCTGTGATGCCTACCATTAAGCTACCCCTAGTTAGCCATCTCAGCAGGGAAAGCCAAACTCCTCTGCATTAAGGGGACGGTGTTGTGAAAGCCAGTCTGCTCTGTGAAGCTTTAGAAAACTCCCTCAAGTAATTTATATCAAATGAAGATCCAGCATGTGGAATCATAACATAAATAATTATTGCTTGCTTTTCTTACACTCAAATCTGGATATTTAATCTGTGTTGCTCTATTTACATTCCTAATTTATTATATCTTGTAAATTCAAGAAAGGCAATATCCAAATGACATTCCAAACTGATAAATCTAGCTATCCACCCTACAACTGTAGAAAACTTCTTACCTATCTGTGTTAATATAGTCTAAAGGAAGGAATGCATTTAAATTCAATGCAAGGAATTAATTTCCTACTTTTCATGTTAGTATTGCAAGGTAGCATCATGGAGTAAGTTTTTGATAGCTGAGCACACTTGGCCCATTTAAAAAATAATAATGTTTTTAATGAGATGAAGGTTAATATCCATCTAAAAAAAAATCTGTAGTTGTAAAGAACTGTGATAGCTTTGTAGTCACTACAAAACTAAGGAAAAAAATTGTATTTAGAGTTGCTTCAATGTTAAAAGACATTTTAATACAAGTTTCAACCCCATTCAGAATTATCATTTACATATGTATAACTCATTTCAGAGCTTTATTTTTATACCCACAAGGTATCATTTCAAAACAAACTTATAATAATCTGTATTCTTCTTTTGCTTTTATTATGTATGCTATCAACCTGCCCTTCTCCTTATAGAACAAATTCATATACTTCGTCATAATACAGCTGTCACACATTCTTTTTTTTTATGTATGCTAGATCCAGGAACAAATTTGAAAGAGTAACATCTCCTGCCAACACCTGTGATATACACTTTTTCCTGGCCAGTGAAATCACAGATGCTGTGTTAATTCAATTGAGTGAACCCATGTGCAGAAATCTCTAAATTTTTATACCACGTTGTTCTGGTTTAGACACGCATGTATGTGTAAGAATGCACTGAATGCCAAGTTGATTTCATTCACCCAGGTGAAACAGGCATACTTAAAGAAAAACATTACTTTGTGACTGATCCAATGGCTATCACTTAGTAAAGCATAAAAAAAGACACTTTCGAATGTATGACAATACACCATTTTACAGAGCCTAACTCTGAACTTTCACAGATAGCACATATTTGGCTGAATATGTTCATGGACAATGTTCGTAGAGATATTTATTTGAAGAAAAAGTTTCTTTTTAATCTTATACTTGTAAGATACAATGGCATCCCGTGAAAGAAATTTTCTCATGAGAAAAACAAATAAAATTTATATATCCTCTGTCCCTCCTGAATACGCCTTCAGGATCACCATTCTTCCTTAAGTAGAGCACTGGCCTTCAGGACTAGTTCTGAGTGTTTAAGACCTCATTCTCAGGGCCTGTAAAAGCTAACTTCCTCAACGAGGTGTTTCTTCTTCACAGAAGAGTCTACTAATCACTGCAAACAACTGCCTTTCAAAAGAATTTGACTCCTCTGCATCTGTGACCAATAACTCAATTACTCCACATATAAATGGAAACATAAGAACTGACATGATTCCGAGGCTTTCACTGATCTTTTTTCTGCTATACCACAGCAATATAAGGCAATGTCTGAGTCATAGGACAGTGCCACTTTTCTTTGTGCTAGCACAGCCACAGTACTAACTAACATCATGGATTCTATTTTCTTACTTGTTTTCCTGTTCAGCTTTCCCATTATAATCAGGATGTATGTTCTATTACAAGTATTGCTACTTCCCCACCCCCTCAAAATCCTGCTCTAAAAAGACATTTAAAAAAACTGATTTCAATTAAACTTTCCACAGAATCCAGTAGAAACTTTGTTATGCAATCTATTAACTCCAGCTATCTCCAGGTATCACAGCAATGGAAAAAAGTGGATAAAAAAATCCTAGAATAAATAAATGGATATTATGTGTATAATTTTAGCTTATTCTAGGATTTGTCTTATTTCAGGCTTTTTTTCTCCTGTTTTTTTTGGGTTTTTTTGGTTTTGTTTTTTTTTTTAAGTAGCAACAGGTGGTGATCAAACTTATTGTGGATATTGCAAGCTTTACGTGGCCAGCTGGCATGCTGTCCAGCCTCCTAAGAATGCTTTTCTGGTCAGAGCTTTTCAGGGGTTACCATGACAAACATCTGGTAATTGCATGGGACAGCAAACAGCCAAGTTTTCCCTATGTTCTCCATTGTACAGCTTTTAGTCTACATTCCAAAATATGTATCTTTTTATGTTGCAAACAACTTGCAGAATATTAGAAAAAAAAAGTAACATGTTTTCTGTCTTTGTAAGAGAAAGATACCAGAATGGTGCATGTCTTTATAAACTGGGGAATAATCTCACAAATAAGTCTACTTCATTCTACTTGCTGCATTAAAAAAATATCTTTACTGTAATCAAAGTTTTCTTTTTTAACCACTTCTCCTTGTTTTCTGTTACTTTGTTCCAGTGCTCTGGTATTTGTTCAGAGACCCTTCAGTACCAGCAGATCCACTGAAGCTCTACGAAATCGAGTATAACTTGACAGCAGTAGTAGCTACCTTAGATGTTCTGTACACATGGGTTTCATTTTAAACACACACTAAACCCCTCACATAGGAGCTCAGCACGTTTTCACCAACAGCATCCAGCAGGGACCACATGTTCCCTATCCTGTATACTTTCATGCATCCCCAGTCCCAAACTTGGAGGAACTTCAACCACGGCTTTATCCCTTTTTCCCTCAGAATCCAGATGACAAGACTCAAAGCTCCAAGGAAAAAAAGATGGCAAATCATGGGATCCTCACATTCAGAGAAGACCAAGAAGTAATCAAATTCTGAATATGTGTATATGTGTATCTTGCTCAGGATGATGTCAAGCAGTTAGTTCACAGTGGAGATGCAAACTGAAAAGTATCTGAAAATCGAAGGGCCATTCATTCAAACTGCATGTCGGACCCTAAGGCTTTCTAAGTGTAATTGTTAGAAAATGTATGAAATGAGTTCCATGTGGCTGCAGGAATTCTACTAAAATATGTTGCCAGGGGAGCTTATGATCTAGTTGCAAAGGATCATAATACTAGTTGGACATTTAACCTTAATGTCTAAAACTATCTTTATACAATTGGCAAATCTTTTCAGAGGCTGAGAGAGGGCGAAACTGGCTTTCTCTGGGATTGTGCATCAAGGCATTATCATGCATCTGCGTATTCTGCAGAAGAAATTCAAGTAGTCCAATATTCTTCAAATATCTTCACTCTGGTACAATGAGCATGCACTGCCTTTTTTCCAGAAAGAGATGAAGAATGGCTATTGCAGCAGCAAACAACATTAGAGCAGCTGAGCTTCAATTCCCTAGCTGTTCAGAGCGTGAGTCAGAGGTAGGGTGCTCCTGCCACCAAAGGTGTTAATGTGATTATGGCTTCGTCACCTGCAACAGTAATCTAGCAGCTGTAACATCTACCTCCTCACACCTACCATAGTAGCAGCCCAGACCTCTAAAAAGGGCAGTAATAAGTTTTCCCTGCTCTCCCCACCTCTGGGTAGATAATGAGCACATCTGATGGCATAGCACAACTGTCCCATTCCTTTCTTTTAAATTAATTCCCAATTTCAGCTGTTGTTGTCCATCCTTCTCTCTTATTCAACATTATATCAATTCTCCCAGCAAGTTTCCCATCTCTATATTTCTGTGGCAAGTAGAGAAGAGCAAACACTAATTTCATAGAATCACAGAGTCACATCATGGTTGAGGTCGGAAGGCAGCTCTGAAGGTCATCTTATCCAACCCCACTGCTCACATAAAACCAGTGTGACTTCACCAATCCTAAACAGAGGGGAAATATCACCTCCCTCAGTCTGCTGGCAACACTCCTCCTGATGCAGCCCAGGACGTCATTAGTCTTCTTTGCCACAAGAGCACATTTCTGGCTCACCTTCAACTTGATGTCCACCAGGATCCCCAGGTCCTTTTCTGCAAGCTGCTTTCCAGCTAGTTACTCCCCCCAGCATATTTTGGTGCCTGTGGGCTGTACTTGGTGCCAAGGGACTTTGCACTTCCCCTTGCTGAACTTCATGAGGCTCCTGTCAGCCCATTTCTCCAGACTGTTGAGGTCCTTCTGGATGGCAGCACAACCCTCCAGTATATTAGACACTCCTCCCAGTTTTGAGTCACCAGCAAACTTGCTACATTCTGTCCCATCATCCAGATAGTTAATGAAGACGTTGAACAGGATTGGAACCAGTGCTGATCCCTGGGGTACACTGCTAGTTACTGGCCTCCAACTAGACTTCATGCCACGGATCACCACCTTCTGAGGTTCCCATTCAGACAGTTTTCAACCCTCCTCACTGTCTGCTCATCCAGCCAATACTTCATCAGCTTCTCTATAAGGATGTTATGGATACAGTGTCGAAAGCCTTACTGAAGTCACAGTAGACAATATCCACTGCTCTCCCCTCATCTACCAAGCCAGTAATTTTATCACAGATGTTTATCAAATTGGTCAAGCATGACTTCCTCTTGGTGAATCCATGCTGACTACTCCTGATTGATACCTTGTCATTTATGTGCCTGGAATAGTTTCCAGGATTAACTGCTCCACCACCTTCCCAGGGATTGAGGTGAGGCTG